ACTATTATGCTAATATATTTTACCGGCTTTATATAAGTATTATGTCAATGTTTATTTTTACTTCAAAACTCTCAAAAATATCCATTTTGTTTATTTTAAAAGTATCATCTAGAAAAGGAATATAAAATTTGTATCACATTTTTCCTGCCAAAAAATCAAAATTGATTGAATCTCGATTGAATGTGTTTACGAATTTCTACGCAAAGCAAGATTCAATCCAGATCATGTGTATTATATAGTTTCTTGATGGCAAAGCCCCCCCGTAGGGGGGGGCGGAATACACTGCCTCTACGCATACATTTTCCACGCGAAGTGAGGTTCCATATGGGTTTGCAACTGAAAGATAAAAAGTGTAGAAAGTTGCGAATCCATGTAGAACCTCGCTTCGCGTGGAAAATGTATGTAGGAGGCAGTGTGTTCCGCCCCCCTCTACGGGGGGGTCCAACTGCTCCCCCTTCGGGGGGGCTTCACTGTTTCCACACATACATTTTCTACGCAAAGCGAGATTTTACATGGGTTTGCAACTTTCTACACTTTTTATCTTTCACATGAGGTCTTACATGGGTTTGTAACATTACATCACATAACACACGCCACTTCTCATGTGAAGTTTTTATCTTTCAGTTGTAAACCCATGTGGAATCTCACTTTGCGTGGAAAATGTATGCGTGGAAACAGTGTGTTCCTATCAAGGAACTATATTCCACGACCTACATCAAGTGGTTGTAAATAAATTGTAAATAGTAAATTATAATTTAATTTTTCTATTATATATCAGTATAAATAGTAAAATGTTCACTTTTAAATAATCTGTTGCATTGTTTTTTTTAAAGATTTTTCTTTTTATTAATTTTTTTTTATTTATTTTTTATTTATTTTTTTTAATTTTTTAAAAATTTATTTTTTATTTATTTTTTTTATTTATTTTTAAAAGAAGAATTAGTTTTTTAAAGACATACATATTTATTTTTTTATTTATTTCCAAAAAAAGATTTATTTTTTTAAAGACATACATTTGTGGACATATATAATTGAAATCTCGTTAAGAGTTATGATAATAACATCGATAACATAATAACATCAATAACATCATAACATCGATAATATCATAACATCGATAACATCATAACGAGTGACATATTGATATATAATAGAAATAGTTTTTTTTTTTTACTTTTACAAGACAGTTTTGGTTCTAGATAATAAAATAAATGTCTAAATGTCTCTATATATGTCTACTATATCTACGTGTCTATTCTATCCATATATATCGTGTTATCGTGATGGACGCAGATGGATTTGTGACTTGTATGAGTACGAGTAAACTGCGTAGATCTCAAAGTTTATGCTTGCAGTATCAGGTTCGTGATTCTCAACAATATACTTTTGCATTAAGAAAATATTCAGAAAACAATTCGATAAACATAATATATAAATATATCATTTATAGTCTCTATCTTTTTCAATTAAAAATACATGACGTGATGTAAACACAGTAAATTGATCATTATTAATTCGACAATTAAAAATGACAAATTTTTATTATGGTAAAAATTCAAGAGTGAGAATCACATTCATCTGCTTTTCACGTCGAAATATTATTTAATTCATAAATTTAGATTGGGTTTTAACAGAATTAAAAATTTAAAATATTATAAAAACCGTTACATACAGTTAGACACCCACTGTCTAGCTGTATGCAGAAACTCCATTGTCCTGCTTAGTGTTCTGTGCAGCATTTTTTTTAGACAACGGCGGAATTTCGAACTACACATAGAATACATTAAGAAATTAACACTAAAATTTGTGTAATACAACAGCATAAATAACTGTTGTATATGCCACAAATATATTGGTGGTTCCAATGTTTTCACAGTGTAGTAGTATGCTGCCGCACGAGTTACATAGCTGAAACAGAATAATAACTCGACTCGTAACGCTATTTTCTTGACAATTTAATCTCCGCTAAGAAAATTAACTCTCTTATTCTTGTCGTAAACTGTAATTTGCGCTATAATGTAATCTTGTTAAGAAACAATTACTTGTTAAGAAACAAGAATAAATTTTTACTGAGCATTGTGTCAATGAGATTAGAAAATTACAAAATTACGATAATACTTCTTGCTTCATCAAATTTAGGAAAAATTAAGAGTTGTAAATTATTTGTAACTTTTGTTCAATCACTTTCTTAAAATCTTTCAGATTTAAAAATATTTTGCAGGAATTTAAAATTGATTAAAAAAAAATCCGGCGGATAATTATTCGGCAAAAATTTTTATCGTAGTGATTTTTCTTACTGTATTAAATTTCACGGAAAAGTAAAATATTCATAAAATATTATCTCTAAAACTTTGTTATCTTACACATTATTATCTTTATGTAGTAAGTATACTATTTAATGTAAACTAAGCAATAAATAATAAATATTTTATGTGAATTTATTTAGTTAATTATTATCAGCACAAATGTGTTCCCATTATCAAACAAACTATTATTCGAGCATGAATATCAGCATTATAATTCTGCGCTTATATATAATGCTTTTGTAGTGTTTTAAAAATGCACAGTCCTATTCTGGCGTACATAACATATTATTCAATTTTCTGAATAATATTAATAGATTTCAAAGAAACAATACGCATTTACCATTATAAGCGGATTCAATTATGCAGATTATGCAGTTACCCGTATACATTTGAAACCACATTAACCAGAGATTTAGCTCAACAAATATTGCACGCTCAAGTGCGTTGTGTGAATCGAAATAATCCAGTACTGTAGGAAAATCCAAATGGAAAAATACATAAGGAATGGAAAAGATGTAAAGGAGATACTCACCTCGGTACATTAAGAACTATGAAGGCCACGCTAATTAGTACGAGCTTTATAGTGATCTTCTTGCACTTCAAATTTAGTGGCTTCGATATTTCGAACAGATACAATAACTGCAAAGTGAAAAACAGATTCTATGTATAGCTTTTATGTGTGTTTAGAAAATAAAAAAAAAAAGAAATTTGTTTCGTATACTCGATAGAAGTGTACCTTTTTAGTTTCGTTAAACATGAAATCTAATACTACAGCCTAAAAGGAGAATGTTCACGCCAACGGAGAAAACTATTGAAGAAAAAAAATCGTGCTGAGTTTTGCAAAGAAAATTTTAAAGCTGTCGTAATCTCCCGTCGCCCGAAAGTATGTTTTTAATTTTATTAGGATATAATTTATGAAAAAAAAATTCTACTGAATTAAATCTTATCTCGCAGTAGATTAACTTACGAGTAATTGGAGTTTCTACTTGAGCGTTTCTTGAGGTTGGCAGTGAACGAGATGAAGATTGATTCCGGGAATGATGACTCTTAAACAAACGTCGTCGCGACGTACCCCCGAGTGAAACCAGATTTATATCGCCGGCGTCGTTATTGCGGTTATTGCTCTTGTTGCTTCTCTGAAAACAGTTTAAAAAATACTTTTGAAAAATACTTAGTGTTAATGCGTTTTTTTTGCTATGCCGCTGATCCGTTGTGATGCAGGTGTAAAATCGTGCCTGCATTCGAAAGAGTAACTTCGAAACAAGGCAGATTTGTCGCGCAATATTTACAGAAGCAACTAGAAACTATTGTATATATATTGTATATTATATATTGTATATATATGTTTATTATGCAAAAATATATGGTATTTTGTACAATATAAATCTCTGACTTGTGCCTGATACCCTTCCAATCCTCCTTACCCACACTAAAAAAAAAATTTTCTTAATTTTAGTAAATATACACTACGCGTCAAAATTAAGGGATAGAAAATTTCGGGTCGATTTTTGGATGTTTTTGAGCGGCTGTATCTCCGCGAAAAATGGACAAAAAAAATATTTAAAAAAAGTGTTTTGAAGCTTAAATCTTCTAGTTTCTGATTCTTCGAAGAAAACTCCCGTATTATCATTTTTAACTGAGTTATCCTCCATTGAACGGACCAGTCCGGAAATGAAAAAAATTTCCCCAAATTGGGCAACGTGCATGAACCAGAAAAATTTTTTTTGTCAAAAATCGATTCCACGACGTTAAAGCTCATACAATTCTCAACAATTTGCTTTTTTAGTGAATGCTGTGCGATTTTTTTTGACCGAGTACTGCCGTTAGACGCTCATGCATGTTTCTTTCTCTGTACAGAAGGAGAAGAGCGACAAATCATTCTTACCTTGGCGAGAATTGTTTAAGTGATTTTGGGGGTGGTTTTTCGGGTATTAGGGTGTCTTCCGACGCATGCATCGGATCGGTCTCTTTTGTACTTTGTTTGTTAATCTCGAAACTTTCTCCCTGCAAAAGGAGAAGAGCGACAAATCATTTTTAAAAAAATCGCTCCAGGAACGTTCCAAACTTTAATCAGTTGAAATTATTTCTTTATACCTATTATAACTTTAAAATCTTGTATCATGATTATTTCAACGCTCTGTAATTGCACATAAAAAAATAACTTTGATGATAGACTCTTTTTTAGAAGTCACAATGTGCAGTGACTTGCTATATTTTTTATCAGTGAAACGAACACTGCAATCACTTTTTATGCATTCATCTTTCAATGACTGAACGTTGCTCGATCAAGGCGAGCTTAACATCATGCAGATTCATTTATTATTATTTTAATTAGAATAGCTGTATACAGATTTTCTTCATAAATAAAAAAGTGGATAAATATAATACTAGACAAAATAAAAAGAATTTTAAAAAATCACTATTTATCTGTAAATTAGAAACAGATGGCAATTAAAATAATTGAATTTAGAACAAAACATTTGTTACTGCTACATTTTCATATTAAAGAATATTAAACGATAATGTTACGAAATCGAAATTTGCGCAGATCAAGATTAATGATCAGTCTTTCAGACAATATCCTTCATACATTGATAACAACGTATATCCTGTTGGCAATAAGCTAATATCGCCGCTGTTTAAGAGATGACGTAATCTGCATGAAGTTATTAGTCTCGCCTTGGCCGAAGAACGTTCAGTCATTGAAAAACATGCAGTGTTCGTTGATCAAAAATACAGTGCATCACTGCATATTGCGACTTCCAACAGACAAAATCTATCATCAAAGTTCTTTCTAATTTACGAAGAAAATATAACAACAATTCAATAACTTGTGTGCTATGAACTACATATGTCTTCATGTGATATTGATGTTAACTGAACAATAGTAATTGGAAATTGTTTCGCCAATTCCAAAAAGAACTAGCGACAGCTGGATACCAGTAATTTCCTTACCACATAATTAATTTGGTAATTATGGAATTTTCTACTTTGCTTTTGACTGTTCTCACGGCGGGTGCTTGTCTATATTATTTTGTTCTAAGCAAGTTATCTTACTTCGAACAATTAAAAATTCCGCATGTACGGCCAATTCCGTTACTGGGTAACATGGCACCCTGCATTTTACGACGTGTAACCATGGCGGACAACTTACTCAACATCTACAATTTATTCAATGACGCAAAGTATTTTGGTTTTTTCGAATTTATGCAACCGAAATACGTGATCCGTGATCCGGATCTGATCAATTCACTCGCCATTAAAAATTTCGATTATTTCTGTGATCATATCAACTTTGTAAACGAGGAGCTTGAACCAATGGCCAGCAAAAATTTATTTGGTCTACGGGGCGATCATTGGCGCGAAATGCGAAAGCTTCTTAGTCCGAGCTTCACGTCCAGCAAAATGAAAATGATGTTTGAACTGATGTGTCAGTGCGCAAAGAACTTCACTGATTTTTTAATTGCTGAATCTGGAAACATCGGCAAGACATACAACATGCAGGACATACTGCCTAGATACTCTAATGATGTGGTTGCCACGTGCGCTTTTGGTATCAGTGTGGATTCTTTCAAGCATCCGAATAATGAATTTTATCTGCTCGGCAAGAAAGCTATGAATTTTGCTAGTCCTCGAGTAATGTTTGCATTTCTCATGCATAGAAACTTTCCAAAAATTGCAAATTTCTTTAGAATAAGGATGTTCAGCGCAGAAGTGGACAATTTCTTTAAGAATGTTGTCACCAGTACAGTGAAGGCCAGGGACGAGCAAGGGATTGTTCGACCGGACATGATTCAATTGATGATGGAAACTAGAAACAAGAACCATGGACCAACATTCGATATTAACGAGATGACCGCTCAAGCATTTGTTTTTTTCTTGGGCGGATTTGATACAGTATCAAGAGCTATGTGCTTTGCTGTACACGAGGTCGCTGTTAATGCTGACATACAGAACAAGTTGAGAGAAGAAATCGAAGATGTTCTCAGGGAAACCGATAACAAACCCACATACGAGGCTATCAACAACATGAAATACATGGATGCTATTGTGAACGAAATCATGAGAATTTATCCTCCAGCGATTTTCATCGATAGAGTATGCGTCAAGGAATTCGAATTGCCACCAGCGACACCGGATGGAAAACCGATCACACTTAAGCCGGGAGATAGCATTTTATTCCCGACTTACGCTTTGCATCACGATTCCAAGTATTATTCTCAGCCAGAGAAATTTGATCCAGATAGGTTCCTGAATGGCGAAGTAGATAATTCAGTGTACTTGCCATTCGGTGTCGGTCCTAGGATCTGCATAGGTAACAGATTTGCTCTAATGGAAGCAAAAATTATGCTGTTTTATTTGTTATGGCATTGTGATCTTGAACCTGACGCTAAAACCAGAAATCCTATCGTTCTGGATAAAAAAGCGCTCGCCATGACGTCGGAAAATGGTTTCTGGTTAAAAGTGCGGGCGAGGAAGTCGTCGGTTTCTACCAAGAAATTCTTGTCAAATGGACAAAAAATTTGAAACATTTATAGCATGTAATGTTTACTTTATAAATTAAAGTCATATTTAGAATAAACCTTATAAGTGGATATTAAAGGATGTGTGTATAATGGGTATAATGGATATATATGGATATTTATTTTATTAAATGTTAAAAGGATAAATTCTGAATATATTTAAATAAAGTGCCATGTAGGACAGTAGATTCAATGAAAATGTATTTGTGTAATTTATATTATAATTATTAAAATTTTTGAGCCGTTAATAAATCAATGCTTTTTCTTCATAAAAAGTATCCGAGAAGATTGTACATATTGTAATTCTTTAATATTTTTTTGCGTAAAACAAAGGAGCCTCTTGAGACTCAAATGTTCGTAAAATCTTTTTATAAAATATATAACGTAAAAAAGTGAAGAAAAAATTACATAAAAAATGATGTTATAACTAAATTTTCTTAAAATGTTTAAAAAAATTTACAATTTTTATTTTACGGTAAAATATTGTATTATTTTTTTATTTAATATTGTATAAACAATCTTTTGAAAATCTTCAGAAATACGTGTGTCGATCAAAGAAATTTATGTAAAAATAAAATTTTTATTAGAAAATATTTATTTGTAATTTACTCATACCTTTTACTGATATTTATTAAGTTGTTTTTAATAATGCATTCAATACTATATCAATTCAAATTAAACCTTCACGTAAATTTTTACGTCCATATAATGTAAAGCATTATTTTCTAACTGTATTGAAAAATGCGCATGTGATATATTGCGCCACTTTGTAACAAGTATCACAAGTATCTTAACCTTGAACGAATGTAAAGTAATAAAACAGCGCAAATATTCTTTTAATTAATTATATAGTAATATAATAAAACAATAAAACGTTTATACATTAATGTAATAAAACATTTATATATTAATGTAATAAATTAAAAATATAGTCAAATTTTTTTGTAATTAGATAAGTAAATAAGTAGATAATTAAAAAGAAAGACTGTCAACAGATAAATCTCTATTAAATTTTCTATTCTATTATTATAACAATATATACATATTTTAGTGCTCACGTAATCACTTGATTACAAAAAAACTTATTTTCCAATACTAAATATTATTTCTTTCTATCCATTACATTTTCATTAACATATTGCATTGACATCTTTGTCAAATAGATATTTATGAATAAAATATTAATGTCAATAAAAAAAAGTTACACCATATAAAAATAGACATTATTTCGATTTGATTCTATTTTTAATATTGTATTAACTTTATATAATCGTATATTATTTTTATTCAAACAATGTATAGTCACTCATATATAAAAAAATTAATTCTATTAAAATAATTTCATAATTTTATTAGATTAATAATTTCTTTTATAGTATTGTTATGAATCGAAATGTGAATCAAACATGATATTAGAAAAAATGAACAGAAGCATGCATTAGTTATTTATAAATTAGAATCAAATATATATAAACAATGAAAGTAATTCAATTTAGAACAAAACATTTGTTACTGGTACACTGTCTTATTAAAGAATATTAAACAATAGTTACTAAACAGAAAATTACGCAGATTGAGATTTATAATCGGACTGTTAGGCAATATCTTTCACGCAAGCAATAATGTAATATCATTTACTGATAACAACGTATATCATGTTCGCAGTAAGCTATATTTAAGAGATTACATAATCTGCACTTCATGTTATAAATCTCGCCCTAAAATAAAAACTTTCAGTGACTGAAAAACGCGCAAAGTGTTTGTTTCACTGATTCAGAATATAACGAGTCATTGCGCATTAACTTCTAACAAACATAATCTACCATCAAAGTTTTTTTTGATTTACAAAGAAAATCTAATAATAATTCAGTAAATTAGTGCACTATCAACTACGTATATCTTCATATAATATTGATACTAACTAAAGAAAAGTGTTTGGAAACTCTTTCGCCAATTTAAAAAAAAACTAGCAACAGCTGGACATCATTAATTTTTTTATCACGTAATTAATCCGGAAATTATGGAATTTTCTACTTTGCTTTTGACTGTTTTCACGGCGGTTGCTTGTCTATATTATTTTGTTCTAAGCAAGCTATCTTACTTTGAACGACTAAAAATTCCGCACTTACGGCCAATTCCGTTATTGGGTAACATGCTACCCCTCATTTTACAACGTGTAACCATGGCGGACAATTTACTCAACACATACAATTCATTCGCTGACGCAAAGTATTTTGGTTTTTTCGAATTTATGAGCCCGAGATACGTGATCCGTGATCCGGATCTGATCAATTCAATCGCCATTAAAAATTTTGATTATTTCTGTGATCATAATAACTTTGTAAACGAGAAGCTTGAACCAATGGCCAGCAGAAATTTATTCGGTCTGCGGGGCGATCATTGGCGCGAAATGCGGAAGCTTCTTAGTCCGAGCTTTACGTCCAGCAAAATGAAAACGATGTTTGAACTGATATGTCAGTGCGCAAAGAACTTCACTAATTTTTTAATTGCTGAATCTGGAAACACCGGCAAGACATACGACATGCAGGACATACTGCCCAGATACTCTAATGATGTGGTTGCCACGTGCGCTTTTGGTATCAGTGTGGATTCTTTCAAGCATCCGAATAATGAATTTTATCTGCTCGGCAAGAAAGCTATGAATTTTGCTAGTCCTCGAGTAATGTTCGCATTTCTCATGCATAGAAACTTTCCAAAAATTGCAAATTTTTTTAGAATAAGAATGTTCAGCGCAGAAGTAGACAATTTCTTTAAGAATGTTGTCACCAGTACAGTGAAGGCCAGGGACGAGCAAGGGATTGTTCGATCGGACATGATTCAATTGATGATGGAAACTAGAAACAAGAACCATGGACCAGCATTCGATATCAACGAGATGACCGCTCAAGCATTCGTTTTTTTCCTGGCTGGATTTGATACCGTGTCAAAAGCAATGTGCTTTGCGGTGCACGAAGTCGCTGTTAATCTTGATATACAGAGCAAGTTGAGAGAAGAAATCGAAGATGTTCTCAGGGAAACCAATAACAAACCCACATACGAGGCTATCAACGGCATGAAGTATTTAGATGCCGTTGTGAATGAAACTCTGAGACTTTATCCTCCAGTGATTTTTCTCGATAGATTGTGCGTTAAGGAATTCGAATTGCCTCCAGCAACATCGGATGGAAAACCGACCACACTTAAGCCGGGAGATAATATTTGGTTGCCGACTTACGCTTTGCATCACGATTCGCAGTATTATTCTCAGCCGAAGAAATTTGATCCAGACAGGTTCCTGAACGGCGAAGTGGATAATTCCGTTTACTTGACATTTGGTATCGGTCCTAGGATCTGCATAGGTAACAGATTTGCCCTAATGGAAGCAAAAATTATGCTATTTTATTTATTATGGCATTGCGATCTTGAACCTGACGCTAAAACCAGAAATCCTATCGTTCTGGAAAAAAAATCGTTTGCTATGACGTCGGAAAATGGTCTTTGGTTAAAAGTGCGGGCGAGGAAGTCATCGATTTCTACCAAGTAATGCTTGTTGAATGGACAAAAAATTTAAAACATTTATAACATATGATAATGTATTCTATACTACATCAATTCAAACAAAACCGTATAAATTCTTACGTCCATATAATGTAAAGCATTATTTTGCAACTGAATTTAAAAATGCATGTGATATTTTGCACTACTTTATACAGTGAGTGTCACAAATATTTTAATGTTGAATAAATATAAAGTAATGAAGCGGCACAAATGTTCTTCTAATTAATTAACATTTATATATTAATGTGATGAAATAAAAATATAGTCAAATTTTTTGTAATAAAATTAAAAAGAGTTACTGTATTCAACAGCTAAATTGTTTATTTAATTTTCTACTCTATTATATTTATTATGACAAATATTCTTTTAGTGCTACGTAATCACTTAATTACAGAAAAAAAATTATTCCTTTATATCTAATATAGATTTTTTCTATCTTACTTTCATTATTATACTGCATTAACATTTTTGTCATATAGATATTTATAAATAAAATATTAATGCCAATAGAAAAAATATATATCTTATGCATAAGTAGACTTTATTTCGATTTGATTCTATTTTTAGTATTCTATTAACTTCAGAATTTTATATTATTTGTATTTGAACAATGTATGTCATTCATATATAAAGAAATTAATTATATTAAAATAATATCTTAATTTTGTTAAATAAACAGTTGTTTCTTTTATAGTAATCCTTTGTCATTGATTGAAATCAAAGATAAATCAAAGATAAGATTTGGAAAAATAAACAAAGTTTAAAATCCTGTATTATTTATTATTTATTTATGAATAGTTATTTATGAATTAGATCAAATATATAAATACACAATACAAATGATTGAATTTAGAATGAAATATTTGTTACAGCTATATTGTCTTATTAAAAAATATTAAACGATGATGTAAACAATGATGAAAATTACGCAGATAGAGATTTATGATCGGTTTTTAGACAATACCTTTCACGCATGCTATAAGTATGATATAACAATGCATATCATAGTCGCAATAAGTTAATGGCGCCGGTGTTCTAGACATGACGTAATCTGCACTTGATAATGTTATTAATCTCGCCTTGAACGAGCAACGTTCAGTCATTGAAAGACGCGCGAAGTGTTTGTTTCGCTTATCAAAAATATAGCGAGTCACTGTACATTGTGATTTCTATCAAATAACATCTATCAAAGTCTTTTCTAATTTGTGTGCTATTAACTACGTATGTCTTCATGTGTGATATTGATATTAACTGAACAATAATATTTAGAAATTGTTTCGCCGATTCCAAAAAAAACTAGCAACAGCTGGACATCAGTAATTTCTTAGTTACGTAATTAATCCAGAAATTATGGAATTTTCAACTTTACTTCTGACTGTTCTCACGGCGGTTGTTTGTTTATATTATTTTGTTCTAAGCAAGCTATCTTATTTTGAACGACTGAAAATTCCGCATTTTCGGCCAATTCCGTTATTGGGTAACATGGCACCCTTCATTTTACGACGTGTAACCATGGCGGACAACTTACTCAACATCTACAATTTATTTCCTGACACAAAGTATTTCGGTTTTTTCGAATTTATGCAGCCGATATACGTGATCCGTGATCCGAACCTGATCAATTCAATCGCCATTAAAAACTTCGATTATTTTTGTGATCATAAGGGCTTTATTAACGAGGAGCTTGAACCAATGGCCAGCAGAAATTTATTCGCTCTGCGGGGCGATCACTGGCGTGAAATGCGGAAGCTTCTTAGTCCGAGCTTCACGTCCAGTAAAATGAAAGCAATGTTCGAACTAATGTGTCAGTGCGCAAAGAACTTCACCGATTTTTTAATTGCTGAATCTGGAAACACGGGCAAGACATACGACATGGAAGATATGATGCCCAGATATTCTAATGATGTGGTTGCTACGTGCGCTTTTGGTATCAGTGTGGATTCTTTCAAGCATCCGAATAATGAATTTTATCTGCTCGGCAAGAAAGCTATGAATTTTGCTAGTCCTCGAGTAATGTTCGCATTTCTCATGCATAGAAACTTTCCAAAAATTGCAAATTTCTTTAGAATAAGAATCTTCAGCACAGAAGTGGACAAATTTTTTAAGGATGTTGTCACTAGTACAGTGAAAGCCAGGGACGAGCAAGGGATTGTTCGTCCGGACATGATTCAATTGATGATGGAAGCTAGAAATAATGACCATGGACCAATATTTGACATCGACGAGATGACCGCTCAAGCATTCGTTTTTTTTTTGGCTGGATTTGATACCGTGTCAAAAGCAATGTGCTTTGCGGTACATGAAGTCGCTGTTAATCCTGACATACAGAGCAAGTTGAGAGAAGAAATCGAAGATGTTCTCAGAGAAACCAATAACAAACCCACATACGAGGCTATCAACGGCATGAAGTATTTAGATGCCGTTGTGAACGAAACTCTGAGACTTTATCCTCCAGCGGTTTTTGCCGATAGAGTATGCGTTAAGGAATTCGAATTGCCACCAGTAACACCGGATGAAAAACCGATCACACTTAAGCCGGGAGATAATATTTGGTTTCCGGTTTACGCTCTGCATCACGATTCGCAGTATTATTCTCAGCCGAAGAAATTTGATCCAGATAGGTTCCTGAATGGCGAAGTGGATAATTCCGTTTACTTGACATTCGGTATCGGTCCTAGGAACTGCATAGGTAACAGATTTGCCCTAATGGAAGCAAAAATTATGCTGTTTTATATGTTATGGCATTGCAATCTTGAACCTGACGCTAAGACCAGAAATCCTATCGTTCTGGATAAAAAAGCGCTCGCCATGACGTCGGAAAATGGTTTCTGGTTAAAAGTGCGGGCGAGGAAGTCGTCGGTTTCTACCGAGTAATGCTTGTCGAATGGACAAAAAATTTAAAACATTTATAACATATGATAATGTATTCTATACTATATCAATTCAAACAAAACTATGTAAATTCTTACGTCCATATAATGTATAGCATTATTTTGTAACTGAATTGAAAATTGCGCATGTGATATATTGCGCTACTTTATAAAAAGTTTATAAAAAGTTTCACAAATATTTTAATCTTGAATAAATATATGATAAAGTAAAATAATAAAACAGCACGAATGTTTTTTTAATTAATTAACATTTATATATTAATGCAATAAAATTAAAATATAGTCAAATTTTTTTGTAATAAAATTATTTTAAAAAGTTACTGTATTCAACAGATAAATCTCTATTAAATTTTCTACTCTATTATGTCTATTATGACAAATATTCTATTAGTGCTACGTAATTACTTAATTACAAAGGAAAAATTACTCCCTTATACCTCATATAGATTTTTTCTAAATACTACATTTTTATTACATATTGCATTAACATCTTTGTCATATAGATATTTATGAATGAAATATAAATACAAATAAAAAGTTTATATTATTATACAAAAATAGACTTTATTTCGATTTGATTCTATTTTTATATATGAATCGAAATGTGAATCAAAGATAATATTTGGAGAAATAAACACAATTTGAAATCATGCATTAGTTATTTATAAATTAGAATCAAATATATAAATGCACAATAAAAATAATTGAACGTATATATATATATATATATATATTGTTATTGTATTATGCTATTAAGAATAATAAATAATAATGTTGCCCGATGTTGCGCATAAATCGCGGTTTACACTTGGTCAATTAATCTTTAAGTATTCATTATAGCATTCACGTGCAACGAACATGATACACTCATACGTATAATGAAAATATGTGTCATGTTCACAATAAGCTAATTATAGTGCTACTGTTGGAGGAATGATGAAGTCATTACAGCGCTGCTGTTGGAGCACGCGTGTAGTAGCTGATCTCGCCTTGGATGAGAAGCGTTCAGTCAGTTGAAAGATACGCGACGTGTTTGTCTGGCTAATCGGAAATATACCGAGTCAGTACGATATCAATTTTTCGTAAACATTTTATTGTTAAAGTTATTTTTAGATTGCACAGAAATTCTGCCAACAATTCACAAAATTAGTATACAATCAAATACGTACGTTTTAACACGATATTAATTGTACAATAAAATTTGGAAATTGTTTCGTCGATTTCAAGAAAAACTGACTACAATCAGCAACCAGCAGTTTCTTTATCACATAATCAATATCGAAAGTATAATATATTCATAATGGAAACTTCAACCTTGCTTCTGACTATCCTCACTGCAGGTATTTGTCTATACTACTTTGTTCTAAGCAAGTTATTTCACTACAAGCGGCTGAAGATTCCACATACCCGACCGATTCCGTTATTGGGCAACATGGCATCGCTAATTTTCCAACGTGAATCTGCACCACACAGTTTGAGAAATATGTACAATCAATTCTGTGATGCAAAATATTATTGTTTCTACGAATTTACGACGCCAACTTACATAATCCGTGATCCGGATCTTATCAATATGATCGCCATTAAAAATTTCGACAGCTTTTGCGATCGTCGTAACGTCGTGAATGAAGACATCGAACCGATGGCCGGTAGGAATCTACTCGGCATGCGGGGCGATCACTGGCGCGAGATGCGAAAGCTCCTTAGTCCTAGTTTCACGTCCAGTAAAATGAAAATGATGTTTGAATTGATGTGTCACTGCGCTAAAAATTTTATTGATTTTCTAACGATTGAATCTGGTAAGACCGGCAAAACGTACGACATGCTGGACATACTGTCAAGATATGCCAATGACGTGGTTGCCACGTGCGCTTTCGGTATCAATGTGGACTCGTTCAAGTATCCAAATAATGATTTCTTTTTGCTCGGCAAGGAAGTTATAAACTTTAATAGCCCTCGCATGCTTTTTGCATTTCTCATGCATAGAAACTTTCCAAAAATTGCAAAGTTATTTAAACTGAGAATGTTTAGCGCAAAGGTGGATAAATTCTTCAAGGGCGTTGTCACTAGCACAGTGAAGGCTAGAGACGAACAGGGGATTGTTCGACCAGACATGATTCAATTAATGATGGAGACTAGAAACAAGAACCATGGCGCTACGTTCGATATCAACGAGATGACAGCTCAGGCATTCATCTTTTTTTCGGCTGGATTTGAGACTGTGACAAAAACTATGTGTTTTATGGCACACGAAATTACCGTCAATCCTGATGTACAGAGGAAGTTGAGAGAGGAGATCGACGATGTTCTCAAGGTGACCAACGGCAAACCTACATACGAGGCAATCAACGGCATGAAGTATTTAGATGCCGTTGTGAACGAAACTCTGAGATTTTATCCTCCATCATTTTCCACCGATAGAATTTGCGTCAAAGAATTCGTATTGCCACCGGCGACTCCAGATAGCGAACCGTTAACCCTTAAACCGGGAGATAATGTTTGGTTTCCTATTTACGCTCTGCATCATGATTCTAAGTATTATCCTGAGCCAGAAAAGTTCGATCCAGATAGGTTTCTAAATGGCAAAGTGGATAATTCGGTTTACATTCCATTCGGTATCGGGCCTAGGCTCTGTATAGGCAACAGATTTGCTCTAATGGAAGCAAAAATTATGCTGTTTCATTTATTATGGCATTGTGATCTGGAACTAGACATTAAAACCAGAAATCCTCTCGTTTTTGATAAAAAAACAATGGTCATGATGGTGGAAGGTGGTTTCTGGTTAAAATTGCGAATGAGGAAATCGTTGATTCCTGTCGTGTAATTCTTGACAAATGGATATAGAATTTAGAACACGTATATGTAATAATATTTACTTTAAAAAGGGTTATAGAATTATATTTAAAATAGTCTCTACAAATTATTAATTATTTAAGATGCCATAAAAATGGATATGGTGTATATGATAATGGCATACCATGCAAGGCAATAAGTGGTTTTTTAAATAAAATTAGTTTAGTTTTTAATGTTGCAATTATCAGGATTATCACGTAAAGCAGTAGATTCAATAAAAATTTTGTTAGTTTCTGTCGCAATTAACAATATTTACGAGCCATTATTAAATCAATGCTTCTGTCTTCGTAAAAAATACCTCAACAAACTATAACTATCTTTTTTCCGCGTAAAACAAAAAAGCTTCTTTACATTTGAATGTTTAAATTCAGCCTTTTTTTTATAAATTTTTAAAATTTAAAAATGAAGAATAAAGAGTTGCAAAAAATTATTTTGCAGCTGATATATATATTCTTCATGTTTGCGAAAAAATAAGGAATAATATTATATTTATTTATTTTGAATATTTTAAATATACATAAAACAAAAATATCAATTTTCTATAGTTATATTTAATTTATATGTCAAATATAAAATAGGATGACACCATGAAACCTTAATATATTTTAAAAAATTGTTATTTTATTTTACAATTCAAGATATCATATCATTATAACAATACTTTGATAATTTGTAGAATAATGTATTAATAAAAATAAATAAAATAATAATAATATATATATATATAATAATATTAATAAAAGTTTTTATTAATACTTATAAATATTTTTATTAATATTTTTATTAATTTTATTAAATAAATAAAAAATAAAAATATTAATAAAAAAACAATTTTATTGCAAAAATTAATTTCTTAAACTTTTCTTCCATTTAACACATTTTCCTTATTTTTATTTCTTAAAATACAACTTTTAATTCTGTTTTTCAATGCTACTT